AGTGCTTATGATTAAAAAAATAATAATTATGTGATCGGAATAGGAATCGGCAGGAAAAAACCTGATCAGCACATCTCTACTTACAACTAAAATTAGCTAAGGTTATTTGGTTTATATTGGCGCTTTGTAAACAAAAGAAAAGGAGAGTGGAAGGGTAAATGTGGGAAAATTCTCAAATTAGACCCTGCAGCTGTAACTTCCAGATTATGTCATCCTTCAAGTCTAGCCTAAAGGCCCCACTCCTCCCTACCTCTCACTGTCTGCCATCTGCATGGTCTCCAGTTTGGAGTGAGCCCCTCTGTTGAAACCCTTCACTTCCTGCTCCTCCAGGCCCTCCAGCAGGCGAATGGCGTCCTTGTTGACCCCACGTCTTTTTGCCAGCACCAGAGGAGTCGAACCATTGTGGTTACTGTGAGGAAGAGCGAGGAAAAAAGGGGGAAAAAAGAGAGAGATGAAAAACTGAACCTTTGAACTGATTCACAAACTCACACCCTCAAAAACACAAGGAGGGTTTGCTCAAATAAACGCTCCTCAAGCAGCACACACACACCCAAACAAAGCTTTAGTATTCATCAACTAAACCTCTGTGGTGATTGTTAATCTTCTATGAGGGCTAATCATGAAGATAACCTTCATAATTCTGAAGTTATGAAGATTAACAATGGCAGATGAAGATGAACAGCAAGTGCTGAGAAAAGTTTTAACCTTTAAGTTAGCAATGTCTGTAATCAGGAAGGAACCATGTCATAAATCAACTCTGGCACACAGGCAGTGGAGGAGACTTCTCAAGTTATCTCCCACAGGGAGAAACTTAAGGAAAAACGAACTAACAAGACATAATATTTTTAATAAGTGCAATATAATTAATAGAATACCATTTAATTAAAATTAACATGACTTGAAGTAGTCTAAATTGTAGTTTTACATTAACTACATGGAGTCTCTAATCTAGACCAAACGTAATATCAGTTAGTTAAATATAATCAAACTAGCATAACATTAATTAGAAAATGTTTAGAAATGAATGTGTTTATATTGAAAATGCTCAGATATTTTCTATAAGTGTTTTATTCTTAAAATCTGCGCTTTGATCTAAGAGGATGCAGAAGTTCTGAAAAACTTGGCGCACCAGGCCTTATGTCAATTTAAAATGACTGCACAGATCTGTATTGAATTTGCCCAGGAGGGAATAAAATAGGTCTAAGGCAGGTTACCTTTTGGTTGAACCCTGGTAAAAAATAGAGGCTTTGTTCCAACCAGGTATTAGGAGTAACATCACATTTCAAACTGGCATGAGAAGACCTTGCTGAAAAATAACCTTTGGTCTCCCTTGTCTAGATAGAGAAGCGCCGTAGCCCTGAAACTAAACAGGTCTCAGAAGGCAATAAAATTGCTTTGGATGTCCCAAACCTAGTAATTTGAAACTAGTTCTAGCCGTACTAGGGAAACAACACGCCTTAATCGCATAAATTAAAACAAAGAAAACACCCTTTTGAATAAAAGTATGGGCTCCAGAGGAACCAATCAGATTTGCTATTTGCAGCCGCATGGCAATCTCCAAAAAACGTGGTTTTTCTTTTGCCCTTTTTCCTGTTTTTCTATTTCCTACTTTTCTACTTGTCTCAGATAAATGAATGTCTGTTTTAGTGTGTTTGAAGTATCTCTGTTGTCAATGTGATTTTATACTTTTAAATGTTGGAATAAACTCTGAAAATGTATGACGTGGAGCGCTGACGGTGGTCTCTATGTGGCTTTTATTTCCACACATGGCATCATTGAATCCGGGAGAACAAGAGAATACAATACAAGAGAAGTTAATGATTTTATTCTCTTAAAACAAGCCAAGCAAGACTGTCATCTGTGTCACAGCTGCCTGCTAGATAAGAGCAAGTGCCAGTTTGTAAATATAAAATTAGCGATCCTTTCACTCCCATGAACTTAGTTCAGCAGATGTATTTCCCCTGAAGCCATAGCAACGCACAAGAAAAGGTTTCCATACAAGGACCTGTGTGTAGAGTCATGTAACACTTTTATTTAAATAAAAGGAACCACCAGTGTTGTTCCTCATCTGAGAATGTGAAACACTTGCCATGCCTTTCTTGAGCACACAGTCTGTGTAAGAACAAGACGTGTCTGGTTTCATACTCTACCACGGGAAAACTAAACGTGGTTCAATCAGGCCACTTTTATGGCCTCAGGAAACAAGGAACAGACAAACCAGATGCAGACATGAGCCTGACATTTGTGTCTGTACAGCTACGTTCTGTATCCCATTACAAACCAATGAAGCTTTATTACAGTTTATTACTTTATTACAGCAGTTTTGACATGCTTCTCAAAACTGCTCAACTTTCTGTTGCATCTTCTACAAGAAATAACATGACACAATCCAACTAGTCCGTCGGATTTCCAAAGTTCCCGCAGGTTTAGGGGATGATCTCAAGGCCATTCAAACTGAAAAACAAAACCACACTTACATCCTTAAAGCCTCTGCTGTGGTTACACATGACAAATGTGTAGCTAAAGTGAAACCACCCAATTGAAATATGAGAAACCACAGCTGTCACTTTTGCTAAAGATGTTCGGGATGGGGTTTGTTTTATCACTAAACAAGGAGGAAATGTTTTCCTGAAGCATCTTTTCCATCGTCTCACATCCATCTCTACCTCAAAGAGCTTTAGACGCCACAGACATGTGGTCATTGTGGGAATTGGCAACGTTACAGTCCAACCAAATAACCTGGTATTGGAATTTCAGAGTGGGAATGTTTGACATTTACATACAAAATATCCTACCAAAAACTTCACACTAATAGTCTAACAGTTATCTTGATCTAACAGACATCTTTAATGCAGTCCAAGTGCATCCCAGAATTCTCAGATAAAGTAAAAGGCATCATGTGGTTTTGACAGCGTGATGAGGTTAATGAGTTGTAGGTATCAGAAAAAAAGATCTCTGCATTAAGCTAGCTGATAATGATCAACTAATCTGTCCCACTGGCAGTTTAATTTAATGAGTACTAAATAAGCTCACTAGGTCTAGATTTGTATTAGGAAAGTCCCATGTTTGTGTGCTACATTACCAGCTGCGTGTAACAAGGCATGGCTTTTTACCACCTCCTGTCATCATCCTCTCACTGTGGCATGAACAGCACACTTGCCGTTTTGTCAACATTTGTGAACTTTTTGCAGCTGGGTAGTGTTTTCTTCCAGAACACAACACCAAGACCAAAACCAAAGGGAGAAACTGCAGCCTTAAGTAGTCCCAGCTGTGCAGGACCAAACCACTTTTAAACCACAGTTTATAAAGTGCAAAAAGTGCACTTTATAAACAGAGTGCGCTTTTTGCACTGTTTATAAAAAAAATGTTCTCTAGAAGTGCTATATAGTGTCTTAAGTTAAAATAGCTCCAGTAATGAAGATCTCTTCATTACTGCATGACGGCAGCAAAAACTTTCACTTCTTTTTTTTTTAAGTTTCTTTTGGCTCTGGTGACCTTTTTTATTTATTTTTTTATTATTATTTCTTTTATTTAACCTTTGAAAGTGCTAAGTGAGGAAAGCAAATAAAGAGAGAGAGAAGACATGCAGCAAAGGTCGGGAATCGAACCTGGGATGGTTCCTCATTTATGTTGCAACTCAGCTGCAGTTTCAATATTCAAAGCCTCTGCTATGGGTAACATCTTGCAAACAGAACAACAAGATAGGGCAATGATTGAAGTTGGCACTGGAAAACAAAGGCAGACCCCGACAAATACAAAGATGGACATAACTGCTACATTCTCACCAGATATCGATCTTTAATCCGTTGGACACCAGGAACTGTATGGTATCCACGTGGCCGCACAAGTGCAACGCCGTGTTCCCTTGGTAATCCGTTGCCAGAAGGTCGGCGCCAAACTTGTGCAGCAGGCGGCATATCTCCACGTTGCCACGGGCGGCGGCTAGGTGGAGGCCGGTGCGACCGCGGTTGTCGCGGATGTTGGGGTCGCAGCCGGTCTCCAGGAGCCTCTTGGCGAACGGGAGGTCGCCGTCGATGCAGGCCTGCAGCAGAGGCACGCTGGTCTGCGACGAGTCATTGATGAAGACATAGGACATGTCCGAGTGAGTGTCAGAAAATTCCAGCGTACCTGAAATCGCAAAGTGGACGTTTAAATTAGCGTCTATTCAGTGCTATATGCACTGAACGGATTTGTATAGGACACTTAGGATTAGTGAAATGCGTTAGAAAAACTAAAAAACTTGTCAGAAGTAAAACAGAATAAAGTAAAACATGGAATAACTGCTATAAAAGTTGTATTAGCTTTTCAAATGCGACTAAAAACAGTTTTTATGTAATTTAAATAAGAATTAAACGTCAAATTCTTTAAAATGAGCTGTTTTCCCCCCTGAACTTCAATGAAAGCTGCTTGAATGTCCAGAGAACAGAACATAATATTAATGTAGCTTAGGGCTGAAACGATTCCTTGAATGATTCGAGTACCTCGATTATTAAAATTCCTCGAGGAAAATTTATCTGCCTCGAAGCCAACAGCAAGACGAATTGTTTGCGTTTTGTCAGGGTTTGGGGGAAAATAAGCATTGCTGAATTGGGTAGCGTGATGGTTGGACCACGACAGTATTTTTGCTGTCGGAACCGCGACTTCACAGTTTGTGTGTGTGTGAGAGAGAGAGAGAGGGAGAGAGAGAGATAGATAGATAGATAGATAGATAGATAGATAGATAGATAGATAGATAGATAGATAGATAGATAGATAGATAGAGACCTGATTCCTCCCTGTTTACCGCCCCCGTTATACGATGTGTGTAGAGCAGGGGTGTCCAAAGTCGGTCCTCTAAGGCCGGCATCCTGCACGTTCTAGTTCTCTCCCTGCTGGTAGTAACAACCTTTTCAGCTTGTCAATGTTCCTCTTAGGCCTGTAATGAACCATCATTGGATCCAGGTGCATCAAACCAGTTTGGGACTCTTGGGGACTCCCTGTTATAATCTTCCGCTCCCCCTCGCCCTCAGCACACACAGCCTTATCTTTTCATGTGACACAGTCACCGTCTGGCTGAGAGTGGAACAATACTAACTGTGGTCATTTCAATTATAAATAAACAAAAAGATCTGTCTAGATTCTTGCAAATCGGGCCTTTTTATGAATGTCGTGGATGTAGAAATCCAGAGGATATTTACGTCTGTGTTTTTCCTGTGAACTTTTGCAAAGTTATTAGTTAGCTAACTGGTGGAATGCAGATATTAAAACACTTTCAATTATAAGAAATAGGTAAAACATTGCGTCACATGCTAAGGAACAATGTTAGACGCAGTTTTTTGTTAAATTTTAACGTCCTAAAAGTGGCGAGTTGCAAAGTCAGAGAGCAAGCCCTCAGCCGTTGTGGTTCCTGTGTTACATACAACCCCGTGTGGGCTGTAAAGGTAACCCAGAAAAGCTGTGACACACACGAGGATTTTCCCAAAAGCAAAGGCGCAATTTGGCTGAATTGACATTATTTTTGCCCTCTTTAGCACCGGAGATAGGCTATTTATTACACTTAAACTAATACTTGGATTTAGCTTTGTACCCTTCCTTATATGCTACTAGCTGATATAAGTAGTTTTTACGCGTTTTTGTATAAAGCTGACAAACTATTAAATGCGGTGAGGTTTTTTTTTAAAAAACAACACATTTATATTGTTTAAAACTCTGCTGGTGAAAATATGTGTAATGTTTTTGGTTAAAGAGTGCATAGCTAGGCTACTTGACTGAAGCTAACTGTTTAGCAAAAACATTAACAAAGGCGGAATATGTGTCGGCTTGGAATTACAATTACTCCTTCTATGTTATTTCTATTTTATGTTTGTACTCATGCCCTACAATAACATTAAGTGGAGGACACCAGTCTGCTCCCCCAAAAAATATAGCTTGCGAAGCTAATTTAAGCTGGAAGCTAACAACGAATCGCCATAAAGCCAATAATACGTCGTCCTATAGCTTTGCAAACACATACACGAATATAATGGTCATTTAGACTATTTGTACACTGTCTGTATTGCAACTGACCTGTTTATAGGTTTCCAAATTAGTAGAAAAAAAACTGGACGTCGCAGCTCTTCAAGCTAACGTTGCTAGCTGTGTTTCGTTTCTTTTTAGTAACACAGAAGATCAACACGTTGTCGCCATCTACTGTTCTGGATAACGAACTCTTCCTGGCGTATGCGATATTTTTATGCATGGATTGTACAAGTTTTGATGAATTTCAAGAATTACCTTATTATTATATAGTAATAATGCGATTATATTTTTCGGATTTTTTTAATGTTAACTTAACCACGGGGAGTTGTGACTTTTTCTCATATAAGGCTAACGTGATCTGAATTACATCAAAGTAAAAACGTATAAATGTAAAGGTAGAGGTGAAGTAGTTTTGGTTTTAACTTTAAATCCACAGTTCTTCCAGCAGTGCCAACAACAACAAGAATAATGATGTATGTCTGAGACATTTTTTAAAAATTTATTCGGAAATATGTGAGGCCAAATAATACAATTTACATTAATACACCAGTAATTGCCTCTTTTTGTTGTTCTGGATCCTCTTTGAGGAAAAACCACATTACTTTTATTCTGCTTCAGTCACTTAAAACATGATGCTGAATGGGACATGAGGGTCAAACAACTGTTTAATAGTCATGTGATTACAACAAACAAAAAACTCCTAGAAGCATTTTTCCATAAATGTACAGAACATCATATTCTCATCACCTCCATCGTCAGTAAATGACACCAGGAGGTTGTATTATGACACAGGTACAAAATAATTACAATCTAGATTACAAAAATAGCAAATGCTAATGAAAACCGCAGAATAAAGGTGAAGTGTCAGAGCTACCAGACGAGAGACACGCTAGATGAAGTGGTCATAGTGGCTACGTGAGCAGAACATTCGACATTTTCTTTTTTTTTTTTATATGAAAAAACAGCACGAAGGCAAAGAAAAAACAATAGAGCTAATAGAGTTTAAAACATTTTCGTTTTTTGGAAATGCTGCTGGAAGAATAAGAGAAAAAGGTTGTGTTTGTCAAAAAAACATAACACCGAAGACGCTTTGTAAAAGTAACAGTTTGGTCACAACGCAATGAAAAGCTGAGACTGACCCACTTCGCTGGGCTTGTGACCCGTCTGGATTCACGTCGGTGCACCGTCAGTCGTTTGTTCTGATCTAAAACTCTTGCGGACTCTCAGTTTGTGTCACTTAGAGGGAAAAAGTGCTGATTTGCTTTTGTTTCAGTTAAGAAAATAATTCACAAATAATGGTGCTTCTTTAAGACTATTCCTTTCGCCAAAACCACTTTGAACACAGTGATCTTAAATATTTCAGCTTATTAAATAACGACTCTGCTCAACACAAGTTGACACCAAAAAGTGATTGTGATGTGTTGAAAAATGTTACGTGGACTTACTGATATATTCTGTATTTTGTGCCTTTGTAGTTCCAAGTTGTTTTGAGAACAAAATGACTAATAAATAAAACCCTCCAGCAGGTTTCACTTAGAGATGCTTTGGTTTGATCAGGAGTCCAAATCTCATATTTCATAAGTAGGTCAACTGGTTCAGATGGGAATAGAAACCTAAACAAATTGAAATAGGGTGAAATATTAAGACCTCAGAAAATTTAATTAAATTATACAAAATATTTGAGTATTTTTTTTATTTATATTAAAATTCATGAGTATACTTAAGTACATACAAAAAGAAACTGATTTGCTATTTGTTTCTCTGTACAAAAAGGGGAGGGAAGAAATTAGCTCAGAACCTATTCTGTCTGGATTACATTAAAATTGTAATGCAATGGATATTCCTTTATCAATTGTAGATATCACTAAAGACAAGTAGGAAGGCTCAATTCTTTATTCTGTAAAGATCGTGGCGTTGTCTTGTTCAGATGGCTTTAGCTAACATGCTTTACCATGTTAGCGAGGCAACATGCTAGCATGTTAGCATATGAGTTTTGAGTGCATTAGTGAGAAAACTCAGTGCATTAGTTGTAATTCTATAAAATCTACCATAAGCAGAAATAACACCTAACATGAAGATCCGATGGTGATAACTGTTAATTGCAGACCTTCTATTTAGGGCATCCAGCTTTAAAAATTAAAATTTTTGAATTTCTTTTTGTCATACTGCAAATCAAATTAAACAAAAACTAAAAGTTTAAAGTTTTACAAAGTGGAAAAAAAACTTGGTAGAACATGAATTAAAATGAAAACGTCTAATATTAAATATCCACACCCTCAAACAAATCTCACCAGCTAACATTTTAGCTGTGTATTGCAGCACATGCTAACTCGCCAGCATGTTTTTGTGGGTCACGTCTTCCTGAAAGCTATGAACGGGGCACAAACCGACAGTTCAGTGGAGAGAGTAAAACTATTCGCTATGGCGCCTATAAATTACAGTGAGGGCATGCGTCTGAGCTGAGACGTGTGAAGGGGTCGTCCCTCCGTGGGTGTGTGCTTAGCTAGCTAAAGAGGTGGCTCTCTTCGAGGTAGCAGAGAATGATTCTAACCAAACACCGTGAATTCAGACAAAAGATAAACATAAACATCAACAATAGCACCATTGTCAGTGTAAGTCCAGAGGTTAGAAATCCCTCCGGCGTTCTTCTCTATCCACATCCTCCCTCCAGCGTCTTTTGTCGATGAGCCTGCGGCTCCTAAAGGGGATAAAATGGAAAAGACAGCTTCTTCTTTTCAAGTCAATCACATGTTCTTGTTCTCCATCAAGTGCTAGTCCTGGCGTTTCTTCCTCTCTCTGCTCTGTTTGACAGCTACAAGATCTTGCTGCAGACTTGGCAGCGGCTGACCCTGGAGCGTTCCTGACCGCCCTTCAGGGTCTCCTGCTGCGTCGGCGCGCCAAACTCCAGCCGGGGGTCGACTGTGGTGAGCCAGAAGCTGTACTTGTTGGCGAAGTAGTGGCAGGTGCCCCTGGCGCCGTTGCACTCGATGAACGGGGTCGCTCGGAAGTCTTCCAGGCAAGAGCCGGGAGACATCAGGGACTGACCGCCGCCCTCGGCGCCGGCTGCCGTGTGCTGTGGCGGGAAAAAGAGACAGACAGCTATAAGCAAAACCAGCTGAAAGCATAAAAGTTTGTGTTTAGCCTCCGACATTCAGACTGAGGCTTTAGCTGTTGATGATAGAGTCTACATCGTCTATAAGCAATTAGGGAATGTATCTTTGATATCATTACTAACATACACAACACAATCATGGATTACATGCACTAAATATATAAATCTGGATCGTTTATGATGAGAGTAAGGTTGCCGTTTGTCACCGATTCTGTTCATAACCTTTATGGTGTTGAGGGGATTTGTTTTGGTGGCCTTAGGATCACCTCTCTGCTCTTTGCAAATGATGTGATCCTACTGGCTTCATCAGGTCATGATCTATGGCTTTTGCTGCTTGCATGAGGATCAATGCCTCCAAATCTGACACCATGATCTTGAACCAGAAAAGGATAGAGCACCTAGTCCAAGTCAGGGGTGAGATCCCACCCAACATGGAGGAGTTTAAGTATCTCTGTGTCTTGTTTATGAATGAGGGGAAAATGGAGTAGTAGATGCATTGGTGAGGAACAGCACCTGATTGTTTGCAGTTAATGACCCACCATGAGGAAGGAATACCCGATCCAAAGACTCCTCCAGCCGCGTGGGCAGGTAGGGATGGTTAGGTCCTGACTGTGGACCGCCACTGCCTGAGATGGAGCCTCGCACACTGAACACCTGGATGGTTCGGACAAAACAAACAAAAAAAAAAACGGTGAATGCTCGATAAACGCCATGCGTCTGTTGAACCACACATGAGCTCTGGTAGAGCACAGCACCTGCTGACGTAAGGCCGGATCTGCTCCTCGGCCACAGGCATCATGGGGATGGGCGCGGTCGTGGAGAGCCAGAAGGATTTGTCGTTGCGGCTCGCGTAGTAGCAGGTCTCAGATGGGTTGCAGTAGAGGAAGGGGATGGTGTTGAACCTGGGGAGGCACGAACCCGGCTGACCTGGAGAGGCGCGGAGGGGTCCCACAAAGTTAACAGGTTGGTGGCGACAAAACTGGCGCATCAACGCACCAGTCCGGAAGAATCGAGATTTGTTGAAACAAGATCCAGAGATCATTCAGGTTTTAAAACCTCACAATGTTTAATCTATTACACCCAATAGATTTAGGAACATGAATGAAGAGGAGTTTGTAGTGGAGCTGCAACGTTTTAGTGGGAAATCGAGGATTTACACACCAAGGTCTTGGTTGTGTGCCTTCTCCTGTCCCTCCACGTACAGCAGGCTGTATCCTTCCCACAGTTGGGCCATGCCTTGGGGACACATGGGGACATTGGTAGTCTGGCTGTGCTTCACCAGAGTGTAGCCGATGCCGATGCTGCGGCCGGCGCCTCCGGGAATACCGGGACGACCGATGGCTCCGGGAAAACCTGAGAGAGAGAAACGTGACCAGATGGTAGTGAGGGTTTCTCTTCTATGCACATGTAATCTTGTGTTTTATATGTGGGAAAAGAGTCAAAAGATCCTGCAAAGAAAAAAAAGTATAAATATATCGCACTCAAAATTACTGTAATTTGGAATCCGTTTCATATTTTGCCTCATCAGTTTCATTTATTTTGGCATTAGATATTATTTCATCAGATGTTTTGCTGCATTTGAGTCTTTGGTGTTTTTATTGTAGGCCTCTCAAAAGAAAAAAAAGAGCAAATCATATCAAGAAAAAAACATTTTTAGAAAAAGGGTGTTAAATTGTATTTAGCAAGTAAGTCTGCAAGTCAATATCAATGTAACAAAAACAAACAAACTGACCTTGATCTCCAGTGATCCCTGGGAATCCAGGGATGCCCGGATCCCCAACCGGCCCAGGAAAACCGGGCGGTCCAGTCCTGCCGAGCTCACCCGCAGCGCCGGGGCGACCCTTTAGACCTGCGGCAGAGGAATAATTACCATTCATCACAAAAGTACATATTTTCAGATTCCTTTTAAATGTGATTCAGTTGCTCAATTTTGCCACAAATACTCAATTACAGTGCTATGCAATTATTATTATTGGATTTGCACCAATAATAGTCGGGCATTTCACAGGCCTTAATGTAAGAGTAACAGACATGAAGCCGTAAAAGGTCTGTTACCTTCATGTCTCTCGAAGGTTAACAAGCAGGAAATTATATTTCATTTGTTTAAGATGTACAAAAACCAAGCTGCAGAGAACGGTGATGGGCACCACCAGCTGAAATGTTAGCTATGCTAACCCTAAAGAACTAACCCCATGTATTAGCTGTGCTAACACCAAAATGCTGTACAAACTTAATAAGCACATCAATTTCTACTAAAGTTGACACCAGTAATATGTCAATGACACAACATGTACTGCAACAGCATATGACCCTCCCAGGTCCAAATTTGTCATTACACACATCAAACTATGTAATGTTGTGCCACAGAGAGTTTTGCAGCGATGCATTATGGGTATAGAATAAACGCCATTTGCTGCACTGCATCAATTGAAAGTTTACAAAACGGCCAAGTAAATTAGCGCTTTAGAATTTATCTGGACGATTCCATTTAGGAGAAGCTAAATGCGCTTTTCAAAGTTAGCAAAAGAGCTAAATGAAAAATTAGCTGTGCTATTAGAGGGCTAGCAGAAGCACGCCCTCCGCTGGTTGAAGACGACAATCGAGCACTTCGTCTGGGTAATGTGTTAAAGATTGGAAGCAAACAACAAAGAAATGATCTGACACTGTGTGGCCACCACTGACCTGGACGTCCAGAGAGACCAGGCTGGCCGGGCTCTCCGAGACGACCGAGTTGTCCTTTGTTGCCGGGTAAACCAGGCTCTCCAATAGGTGCAGGGGGCGGTATGTACGGCCCTGGGATTCCGGGAGCACCCTTACGTCCAGGTCGCCCTGAAAAGAAGGAAGGGAGAGCAAAATAAATGAATGGATGAGCAGAGATGATGAAGATGAGAGAGGGGAACATCATCAGGAACCGAACGGTGCTCCCGCTCTCACCCGGTGATCCTCGACGCCCTTTGAATCCGAAGAATCCGGGCTCGCCGGGCAATCCTTTCACACCTGGAGCACCGGCTAGCCCGTTGTCACCCGGAGCTCCTGAAAAGCAAAACCGCTTGTTTGTAGATTTAAGGCTGTGTTTTGTGAAGGGAAGGCAACAAATGCGGTTGTACTGGAGGAGCGGGCAGCAGCTTCCAGCCACTCTTCACCTTTTAAGCCAGGGAAGCCTGGGAATCCGGGGCCTCCAGGACTTCCTGTTTCTCCCTTTGGGCCGGGGATTCCAGGGAACCCTGGGAGCCCTGGGTCTCCTGTGTCTCCTTGTGCTGTGCCGGGACCCGGTGGCCCGGGAGGACCGGGAGGGCCCTGGAAACCTGGGAACGGAAAAGAGAATGTCATGAGATTAAGCATAGAGAGCAAGGCAACTAGATTAAGAAGCTGTGGTTACCGTATTCTCCATCCAATCCAGGAAGTCCGGGGTCTCCCACTGGCCCTGGGAAGTTTGATGAAGTACTTGGACCAGGAGGTCCGGGACGTCCAGGGAACCCTGGACGTCCAAAAGTTCCTGATGTCCAAAACGAAAGCCAGCGTTCATACTTTGTCTTACATTTGGTTGCCTTTTTGGATTTTTTTCTGATCTGAAACTCACCCAAATCTCCTCTCTGTCCCTTTGGTCCAGGGAAGCCTGGTTGTCCAGGGAAGGAAACACCTCTCTCTCCTTTCTGTCCCGGCGCACCGCGGGGGCCTGGGTCTCCCCCTATTGTTGTACCTGGATGGAGACGGATCACGTGTCATGTTTGCAACGTGCAGCGTTTAGCAGTTTCACTGCTGATTTGCAGAGTTTTACCTGTAATTTAATTCAATATTCCTGTAAGAATTTGCAGTATTTTGCTCCATTACATAAATAGTTGACAGGAAATAAAAACAGAGTCACAGTCACGTCAAGTAAAATGTGATAAACACTTAAAATAAAATACAAAAAAAAAAAAATATATATATATATATATATATATATATATATATATATACAATGATCAATTTTGCCGAAAAATAAATTGCCCC